TACGACATTCGTTCACGCATTTTCTTTTTATTTTTAATGAAACGACGAATTGAAATAAATGCCGCAGCTCGACGAGATAGTTGCAATTGGAAAGACAGTTTTCTTTCATTCGCTCGTTAGTTTTGTAATGCGTTTCAAAACGAACAAAAAAAAAAAAAAAAAAAAAAGAACATTAAGCGAAGTTTACGTACACTTGCTTTCGACGAACTTTGCCTCAACTTCATTCATAAAAGAGAAAGTCGCTCGCGGGGAATAAAGCGGAATATTTTCATAGCGCGTTTTCCTGCTACGGCAGAATTGCAATTATGAAATTTTAAGACGACTCGGTTGTAACGAGTTCCGCGTTCGCGCGAAAACGCCGCGATTTCCGCAAAAATGCTTACGATTATTCGCGGGCTCGCAATTAATTGAATTATTCGCTAACCTGTTTCGACAACACGCGCGTTTCGCAATTGCGAAACTTTAAAGGACGACTCGCCATCTGGACAGGCAGAAAATTGTCAAAACGAGTTGTTCGTGTTTTTCAATCGAGATATTTCGCCCTGTTTGCTGTAGTTCAGAAAATGTGGTTCGAGACGCGGGATGTTATTCATCAACGCGACAGTTTTTTTTTTTTTTTTTTTTTTTTAAAAAAACTGTCTCGACAACGTGGTGCAGGCAATTATAATACTCTCTAGAGTATGATTGCGTTAAGCGTAATAAATGGCAGGAAAGAATGCTCTCTCAACGAAAGCAGCGGATTGTTTTACTTTATAATAAGCGTTGACGTGGAATTAAGTACCCTTATTGTTTTCCAAGAACGCTCTTCAACCGAGTGTTCGCAATTATAAAACTTTCTTTCGCGTTTAAATTACCCCGCAATTGAGGAGACCGGCGGTAAGAAAATGTGACGTTTCGTGGAAACAATGGATTGTTAATCAATTCTGACGTGAAAACTGATTCTAAAAGTTAAACACATAATTGTGTCATTTGGATATTTGAGAAATATGGACTGATATATTAATAAACTGTTAATTTGTGTTATCATTCATTTGTTACAGTCTCTCTTTCCTCCGAATTTTTACATCAGGTTCGCGCAAGTGATATAAATAGTCAACGACAGTTGACTCGTTGTACTTTCACGTCTCAATCATCGATTAGTGAAGAAAGAAATCACTCAAGAAAATTCAGGTGAAGTGTTATTTAGTCAGAGGTTTTTCTAAAAGCGTGACCATTCTATTTTTCAATGAAATTCTATTTCGCTGCTGCGAATCTGGCACGTTTAAATGTCACCACGTTTGAATGTCTAAGAAATAGAAATAGTATTAATTATTGTGGGAAATATTTTCAGCTGTGATCTTTGATTGTACATGAAAGAGAAATTCAAACGAAAATCAGGTTTAAATCAGTAACTAAAAGTTACGAATAATTACATTAGGCAGATTATGCCATTTGCCTTCTGAATATGACACGAGAGAAATGAGATCAGCGAATACACTCGTCACATTTTCAATATCGCAATCGCTTTTAAAAGGTTATTTAAGGAAAATCGAGTGAAAGATTACCTAGACAGAAATTTCCTAAAAGCGCATTTGATGAAAATTGTTTTTATCGTTACCTTTAAACGTTAATATGTAATCCGTAAAAAGATACTTGCGCAAGTACGCGTTTCTTCATTTATTATAAATGACACAGAAATCGAAGAACAAACTTGTCGTATTTCCACTTGTAATTTTCAATCGTGATCGTTAGTAAAAAAAATATAGGAAAAATAATTTTCAGATAATTATAAAAAAAATATAGGAAAAATAATTTTCAGATAATTATAAGAAAAATATAGGAAACATAATTTTCAGATAATTATAAGAAAAATAGTTTTCATATAATCATGAGAAAAATGTAGGGAAAATAATTTTCAGATAGTTGTAAAAAAAGTATAGGAAAAATAACTTTCAGATAATTATAAAAAAAATATAGGGAAAATAATTTTCAAATAATTATAAGAAAAATATAGGGAAAATAATTTTCAGATAATTATAAGAAAAATATAGGAAACATAATTTTCAGATAATTATAAGAAAAATAATTTTCATATAATTATAAGAAAAATTTAGGGAAAATAATTTTCAGATAATTGTAAAAAAAATATAGGAAAAATAACTTTCAGATAATTATAAAAAGAATATAGGGAAAATAATTTTCAGATAATTATAAGAAAAATATAGAGAAAATAATTTTCAGATAATTGTAAAAAAAATATAGGAAAAATAACTTTCAGATAATTATAAAAAAAATATAGAGAAAATAATTTTCAGATAATTATAAGAAAAATATAGGAAAAATAATTTTCAGATAATTATAAGAAAAAACATAGGAAAAATAATTTTCAACGAAAATCAGGCGAAACGTTTAATTCAAAGCGCGCGATTTTTCGTTGAAGGTCACCGCGTTACGAATCTCACGCTTAACTTTTAAACTCTCCGTTAATCTCCAATAATCGATGGAGGGATACCGAAGGACGAAGAATCGCGCGGAAAATTGTTTAGTCGCAGGCCGAGAATGAATTCTATAGCGAAGACAGAGCGTTATACACTCCCAGCCGGTTATCCAATCTTTCTTTACGCTTCTCTTATATCACTTCATTTTCCGTGACCGTTCTCCATGAGAAACGTGGCGCTCGTTCCGTTCCGTGTATGCATACATACGTTAGTTTACGCCCCCGCGAGACGAGAAACGTCGCGAAACAAAAATGTTTCCATGCGCAAGTTTACGCCCGCGAACGTCCTCGTGACCTGGAATTAAATAAAATATCATCGAGAGGAAAACCGCGGAGGCGTTACGAGGAGGAAATTGAAATGGTGCACGGTATTAATGGCAGACTGTATTACATCGCGGAGACAATATCGAGGTAGACTTCTCTCTCAACGGCAACGCGGATACCATAGGAAATAAGCCGCATCGTAACATGCGACTTTAATAAAAATATTACACGATACCCTCGATTCGTGACATATCCTCTGTTTTACCCAGGTGTTCTAAAATTAAAGATGTATACTAGAAAGAGGGGGAATAATGGGACGAGTTTTAATATTAGATCGTTCTCATCTAGATATGTGTGTGTGTGTATGTAAGTTGTATGAATTTTTTTATAAATTAATATATAAGAAAAATTAATATATAATATTTCTTATAAATTTATATATATATATAAATTTATAAAAAAAAAATTGGAATCATTCTTTACAAAATTTATAAAAAAATAATCCATACACACACACACACACACACACATAAGGTGTACGGATTACTTTTTTATAAATTAATATATAATATTTTTTATAAATTTATATATATATAAGTTACATATTAACATATAAGTTTTATATATATATATAAAAGTATGGATTATTTTTTTATAAATTTTGTAAAGAATGATTCCAAGTCTATTTGTAACAAATGAAATCAAGGAATTTTTACACATTTATGAGAAATTTACAGATAAAGATATACATAATATAAATATATAGTTGGTCACTGAAAGACTAAATGACATGAAACGAAAATGACTTCTACAGACACACAGTTTTTTAAACTTTTTATTATTTTATTTGGAAATACAATTAATTTTTTTCAGTATTTTTTTCTACGAAGAAAGAAAATAAAAAAAAATCGAAAATGGACAAGTTATGACTTTTTCAAACTCTTCAGTTTTTCGGTGGCTATCCTATACTGCGTATGCTGAATTTAATAGGCCTGTCTGATCTGACTCTTACATTCTTTTAAACTATCTTCACAAAAATATGAAACGCAGTAGTTTAGTAATTTGTTTCTAGAGAATTGAATATCGTCGTATTTAATTTCTGACAGGTTCATGCGTAACTTTGATACTTTACAAATTTTATCGTTTGTTGACGAGTAATTAAATACGTTATAATCACAACTCGTTCATTGTAATTCATTGACATTAAAGCAGTCTTGTGTCATTCTGGAATCTCATAGTTTGTTCTCTAAATTTATGCATCATTTCAAAATAAATCAATAAATTTCCCTCACAGTTTAATTTTATTTCATTTATTTAATTTCCTGAGTCTGAATCTGACCTAGTAAATGAAATATTAGAACGTATATAATGTGATAATTCTGGGTAAACAATTGACAAATTGATCGTTCGTTCTTATGGTAATTCTAAAATATCGCTGTTGACGTGAAACGAAATATCCCGAAATATATACCAGCTGTTAAACTTCACCACAATTTCAATCATCAATGTACATCATTCTAAACTCTCATTTCATTTTTATATTCATCGTCTGGAAATTATTATTCGTTCGAAACTACGCTCGAAAATTAAAATTACGTTACAGAAATAACCATTGCTACGTTTCCCAGCTACGCTACAAATGTAATTTGTATATGAAACTATTAAAAAAACATCAAAAAAAAAAAAAAAAAAAAACTCTATTGAATAACATGTGACAAGAATTATTTAAAATTTCGAAAAATTTGTAGTTTTTTCATCGTGTTTTACTCTCATCAGAGGGAAGAACATTCCTTTGATCATCGCGTTTCACTTTCTACTCGATTCACCTGCAATTCTAGAGCACATCCTCCAGATAAGATTCCTATCTTCGCGAAGTAATTCTTCCCCCGTCCCGCGACATTCCTCCCCTCCTCCCCTCCCACCTCCACCCCCTCGCTGCCGCGTTTCGTTCTTATTCTTTCGCTCATTCTTCTAACGCCTACGCGATCAAAGACCAGCCGTTTGATCTATTTTCGAGGGATCGATACAAGCAGCGTCCCTTTCAAGCGTACTTTCGCACGCAAGAGGCAATAATAATGGCTGGGTTAGGGGCGAGGGGGAGGGAGGGGGGGGGAAGGAGGGCACACAATGGCTGAGGCAAGGGTCTGAACGAGTACGTGGAAACACTCTGGTCGCGTGTTATATTTAAGGAATCCTTAGGTAACCGGTTAAATCCATCGAGAGCGCCTAGTAACGATACACAAACGATTTTGCTTTGCAGTACTTTGAAAACGGCACGACAATCAAATTAACGAACATACGTTACGAGGCGTCCGGCTCGTATTGCTGTCAAGTTTCGATGACGACCCCCATTTACAGCAAGACTTCCGAGAGCGTTCAACTGAAAGTTATAGGTAAGCCACGTGTCATTTCTAAATAAATTATATTGTATATGTTATATTTTATATTTTATTATCTATTGTATGTTTCATAGTTTGTTATATATTTATTTTATACTTTATGTTAATTTTATGTTAAATTATATATTTTAATATTATATCGTGCATGATAATATTTCATATATTATATAAATGTAAAATATAATAATTTTAAAATTATATTAATTATTATATATATATATATTATAATATTAAATATTATATATTTATATATATAATAATATAAGTATTATCGTAGATTATATATTTTAATATTATATAATATATGATAATATTTTATATAATATTATCATATATTATATAATATAAAACATAATATATATTATATAAATATAAAACATAATAATTTTAAAATTACATTAAATATTATATATTGTAATATTAAATATTGTATATTATATAATAATATAAGTATTATCGTAGATTATATATTTTAATATTATATAATATATGATAATATTTTATATATTATATAAATATAAAACATAATAATTTTAAAATTACATTAAATATTATGTATTATATATTATATAGTATAATACAAATATTATATAATAATACAAGTATTATCATATATTATATGTTATATATTTAAAATTATATAAATTAAGTAAATATATTAAATATATTCTATATTATACATATTACAAGTAGACCGCGAGTTTTTTTACACAGATTCATATTTTTGGAACTATAATTCCTATGATAGACGGGTAAAAGGAGTACATACGTCCAAGTCCAGTGAAAATGATATAGGTCAGCAGACTGCGGATTTTTATACATTTGAAGAATGAAGTGCACATTGCATTCATTGAAGTTGCACAGTGAACGTTGCACGTAGTATGAAAAAAAAATGTACGAAATATCCAAACCGCATAATTCTTTGCATTGCACAAAAATCCGCACGGTTAAGTCTCATCGGTTTCGAAAAAAATGATGTTACATTTTGAAATGCACGCTGTGCTTTAAATACTTCTCGGCGGATCAATGAATTCTGACGTATGTATTCTTATTTTCGCTCTGTCTGTCAGAGAATTAACTCTACTGTTTTCTGTTGGATGTTACGTTCCAATTATATAAATATACAGCACGGGGTATAAATTGAAGTATATACGTATAAATACAGTTTTTAAGTGCAGTAGAATCTGCTTCATCGGTACCTTAGTTTTTCAAATACTTTAATACCTTTTACGTTGCTGTAATAAAATATCCACCAGTGAGTGACGATTTTCTAGCAAATCTAGTAATATAAATCAGATGGTAAGATATATTCGAGAAATAATGGCTCGGATAAAAGAGGCTCTGTACTTGACTTCAACATAAAATATAATTTTACGGTCGTTCGTACATTCCACGCTTTCGCGGGAATAACGTGTTACGAAAAGAGAAAAATGTCTGAAGCGAAGGGAACAAGCGCAGGGTTAAAAAACACGGAACCTCGGTGGAAAAATTGTTTCACGTACTAGATGTTGTAATATGCATTCTGTACTTTTTAAATTTTCTGTGAAGCGAGAAAAACGTTGAAGGAAATAACGCAGCCAAGGAAAAAGGGGGAAACATCAGAAAACAGGAAAATAATTCAAATACCTCTGTGTAGAAGTGTTTCAGTCAACAAGGAGATACTGAAGAACTTAAAAAATTCCAGAAGCAAAGTACAACAGCATATTATAACTATTGAATTATGATAATTACAGTTGAGAGTATCTGTATCGATTGCACGAATTTTTCTCCTCCCATACGAACTGTTAATACAAGACACACAGTTCATCTACGTTTAAATAATCGTTTAAATATCTATTTTCAGATATAGATCGCTGAAAAATTCTTCATAATCGAATTGTTCGTAATGAAGTTATGAGACCAATTATACAGCTTCACTGAAATATACTTTTGATCCAAATAATCCGACAATATCTTGATCTGTCGTAGTAATACTTGACTCGTCGCTGAGATTTTCAATATTTTGTAAATTTTCTACTTTTCTTTCGGACCGTATTGTTTCTATTAGGAATAAAATTACGCTGAGATGTAAAACCTAAAAAAAGCAGGAAGACTGAAAAAAAATTGCTCCGCGCAGTACAATTATCTATTAATGGGTCAGAAAGGAAGTTTAAAACATGCAAAGGCACTTCGAAATTTCCAGTTAAATGAATTCTTTATCTTTTAGTATCGCTGTGATGTCGGAGAGAGATTTTTATATTTCATACTCCAATTATTAATGGTGTCTAGAAGCTTTACTATATATGAAAGAAACATTTGCTCGATGATCGTGATCGTCGATAGTTTATCCACATTGTAATGTGATTGATTTCTTGAGCAAATCAATTTAAGAGTATAATATATAATTATATAATATATAATTATTACTATAAATATAATTATACTATAATATTATATAACATATAATTATTACTATATATACAATTATTACTATAATATTATTATTATATAATTATGTAATATATAATTATTACTATATTATTACTATATTATATAATATATAATTATTACTATATTATTATTATATAATTATATAATATTATATTATATAATTATTAAATAATATAATATTATTATATGTAATTATTACTATATATAATTATATAATATATAATATAATTATATCACTACTAATAAAACAGTGATACACAAAAGCTCAGCTCACTCGGTTTCTTCACGAGCCGAAAGTTCATTTCAAACGCTTTGTACATCATTTTTTGAGATGCAAGAATGACGAATGATACATTAAAATACGGGCAAAATGAAAATGTTGGTAAATAAACAGGATCGTCGTATTGATATGTAAAATGATTAACACGTTAACCAAGCTTATTCTCGCCGTTTGCAAGAAACCGTGATTTACGTTCGTTTCATGGAGCTCAGACACGATAATATTTGCGCTCGTGTTTCTGAAACGAATAACAAAATAATTATGCGCAAATATAATATACGATGCTCGTTACGATGGAACGGTTTAAACGCGCTGTAAAACTGAAATCGATATAAAGAGCCAGGTAGACTGCGCGCCATTAAATCCGTCCGACTCTGTTTCGTTATAACGTGATTAAATTGATTCGAGCCTCGTGTTTGAAATTTTATAATGTTAAAAATGAAAGGGAAAAAAATTGAAACTGGCGAGGAAGAAACATTCGTTTTTATAAGACGAACGATAACCTGGTGCTAACACTTCGGTCCATCCTTTTATCGATCGATTGGCTAATTATGCAATCGTTTCGCCTCTACGGTAAGATAGGATCGCGATAAAACACGGCGTCTTTGCAATCGTAATTCGCCGATCAAGCGTAGAAAAGCATAAATCGGTTTCATCCGAAAGTTTTCGTGTGAGAGTTTTGCTCGATTAAAAGCTAGCATAAAGAACAATAATTGTAAGAATAAACGAAGATGAAAGATACACAAAGAATGTGAATTTACAAAACAAGCAATAGGTGTCTGTGGAATGAAACGATTACAAATGTAGAGATTACTTCTTTTTAATTTAAAGCTTTTTACTCGCGGCAGGAGAAATATAAATAACTGGAAACGTTTGTTCGTTTTGATCTGTTGCTGTGTGGAAGCTTTCGTAGTTGATATATTAGTAAATTTCTAAAACAATACGAAGCAAGAAATGCTGTTGACGTTCACTTTTCCTATTTCTTCCCCTTGGAAATTCGTTCGACGCAACTTCAAACAGAAGATAACTCGAGTCTCGATAATCATTTCATATTACCTTTACTATTTAATTTCCAATTACTCATTTGACGCAGCAAACGTGTCGTACACGCTTTGTGTGACCCTCTTTGTTCAACAGAGTGTTAAATTAGCAAACAAATTGCTCAAAGAAAATTACTCCATCGACATAAAAATTATTCGATCGATTACCTTTGCAAACGAAGATTAAAAAAAAAAAAAAAAAAACAGTGTCGGTGTAAGTGATTTAAATGTTGAACGAGAAACGAAGATCGCGTTAAATTTCGTTAGACCTCTAAAGATTTCACATTATTCCATTACGCTTTATTATTAAAATGGAGGAGAGAGAGAACGTTCGCCGCGCGGCCTAATAAAAACGAAGCGAAGGCAAACATTTAGCCAAGCTTCGCGAGGCACTGAACTGCTCTTGCCCTGGTTTTTTTTTCCACGGGGGTAATTCTATTCTAATTAGTGTTATGAAATTGCACAGTACCACAGACTGAAGACCCGAAAATCACGTTCAAGAAACGAGAGTACATGGTCGGCGAGAGTCTAGAGGCAAACTGCACCTCCTCGGCTGCGCATCCGGTTCCTCACTTGACTTGGTACATAAACGGCAAGGAGGTGAGTCAATATTAATTATAACGGCAAACTTGTCTCAATGATGCCTTCACGGCGTTCATTTTAAATTTCATGTGCTCTCGCGTTGCTCGTTAACTCTTAAACGCGTAACGTTGGAACTTAATATCTCTATTTCTTGAGAATCTTGTAGACATCTAGTACGTTTACTATAATGTAACATTAATAAACGTATAAATAAACGTTTATTGCTTGATATTTTTCATCAAAGACTCTATTGTTATTTTTTCTTTATTTTCACTATACGTATCTAGTACATTTACTAATATATAATAATCAACTAGTCTATAACATAACTAAACTATAATATACTGAAGTAAATGATATTCATTGTACGATATTTTTAATTATAGAGAATACGAATATCTATATTTGTAGTCTGAATTTATTGATTTTTGAATATCAATGGCAATCGATGGTTATAACAATTGGAAAATGGATATAAAATTTCTTTGGTTCAAAGGTGTATAGGATGAAAAATCTTAGGATAGCTATTACATTCGTCTCAGAACTATAACTGTTTAACTTGATATTCAATATTTTAAAAACAGTTTGATAAGTTCTCCTAAAAATAAATGTATCTATGAAATTTTGAAAACATTTACCAATATAATAACATAAATTGTATCAACTAATCTATAACCTAATTAAACTATAATATACTATAGTAAATGATATTCATTGCACGATATTTATAATTAAAGAGAATACGAATATCTATATTTGTAGTTGGAATTTATTGATTTTTAAATATCAATGGCAATCGATGGTTATAACAATTGGAAAATGGATATAAAATTTCTTCGATTCAAAGGTGTATAGGATGAAAAATCTTAGAATAATTACATTCTTCTCAGAACTATAACTGTTTAACTTGATATTCAATATTTTGAAAACAGTTTGATAAGTTCTCCTAAAAATAAATGTATCTATGAAATTTTGGAAACATTTACCAATATAATAATCAACTAATCTATAACCTAACTAAACTATAATATACTATAGTAAATGATATTCATTGCACGATATTTATAATTAAAGAGAATACGAATATCTATATTTGTAGTCGGAATTTATTGATTTTTGAATATCAATGGCAATCGATGGTTATAACAATTGGAAAATGGATATAAAATTTCTTCGGTTCAAAAGTGTATAGGATGAAAAATCTTAGAATAGCTATTACATTCGTCTCAGAACTATAACTGTTTAACTTGATATTCAATATTTTAAAAACAGTTTGATAAGTTCTCCTAAAAATAAATGTGTCTATGAAACTTTGAAAACAGTTATTGTGTCAATCGTTACGATTGTACATGTTGTAACATTGTAAGAATATTATACACGTATCGGAATAATATATTACTCTCAGAAACAATTAAAAAGAAGTTCCATTTTGTTGCATTTCGGAGAACCGAATGCATTCGAGGATCGAGTTGATACTTAGATACGAATATCCATCGAATTGCAGCACGATAAGTTTTGTAAGTTAAATCGGGAGTTAAACTTCGACATTATCTTCTGGCATCTATGTTTAATAGCGCTATAATTTTTGCTATATAAAGTTCTATGAGGAACTCTCTCTAAGTCGCTCGATCGACATATTTCCGTTTTTTTCTCCTCTCTTTTTTTTTCTTTTTGCCTCGTCGAGAAGTTTTGAAAATTTTAAATGTAATGGAAGTTTAACCCTTTGATGGTACAACACGTGTTACTTGAGAATTATACTTTACTTACTTTGAGAATTTCATAGCATCATCCCTTTACTTGAAAATCAATTGAGTTATCCATGACGAAGCTATAAAGTGATACTTAAAAAGATGAACGAACTGCGAATTTTTGTGCAATATGAAGACTCATTCAATATTATGTCAATATACTTCGAATATTTTTTTTTTTTATTTTCCGTGCATTTCTGCACTTTTAGAAATTTTTCGCAAATGTGTGCATAAAAAGCAGCAGTCTGATAATAAAAGCAGGATACCACGTGAAAATTGACGACGATCCTCAGTCCCCTATATTTGTATCTGCAAAAATAATTATGTTAATTTTTACTATACAATATAATACAATACAATACAATACAATATAATGCAATGCAATGCAATACAATACAATACAATATAATATAATGCAATATAATATAATATAATATAATATAATATAATATAATATAATATAATATAATATAATATAATATAATACAATACAATATAATATAATATAATGCAATATAATATAATATAATACAATACAATACAATACAATATAATATAATATAATGCAATATAATACAGTACAATACAATACAATATAATATAATATAATACAATATAATGCAATGCAATGCAATACAATACAATAGAATACAATACAATACAATACAATATAATATAATACAATACAATACAATATAATATAATGCAATATAATACAGTACAATACAATATAATATAATATAATATAATATAATATAATACAATATAATGCAATGCAATGCAATACAATACAATAGAATACAATACAATATAATATAATATAATGCAATATAATACAATACAATACAATACAGTACAATATAATATAATATAATGCAATATAATATAATACAATACAATATAATATAATATAATACAATACAATACAATATAATATAATGTAATATATATGTATATATACATATATTACATTATATAATATTACAATGATATAGTTATAATACATATAATAGCGATTCTGACCAAGTGTCATCAATTTTTTTCTTGTCTGTTACATTAGGTGGATATCAGTCTGGTAAATCACTATCCGCACACGCGTCACGAGCACCAACTGATGTCCGCTACCGCTCAATTAACGATAAAAGTGTCCGAGTTGCACATAGGGGAGAATGGTTATTTGGAGATCAGCTGCTATTCAACCATTCCTGATTATCCGTTGCACCACGTGCAGTACGCCGACGACAGGAGAGAATCAGTTACGGGTAATTATCTTTTGTTTCTCGATCTATTTCTTCGACAATTTTCTTTTCCTTTTCTTCTTTTCTTCTTATTCTCGCTCCAACCTTTTCATCCCAGCTCCTTTACTTTCCACCATACGATTTATCTATTCGTTTCATAATCTCGTTAACACAATTGCGACTCTAAATAAATCCAGTTTGCAGACATTTTTATTTAGAGAAGTTGAACTCCCGAAATTCGCCGAATTTTTCGACGTCGTTAATTGAATTTCAGGGGGAGGAGGGGTAAAAAAAAAAGTAGAGAAAGAAGAACTGATTTTAAAACATTTCGCCTCTACGACACGCGAAACGGCCGAATTAAACTTATATTCACTTCACGAGTATAGTCGTGACATCTCTCGCAATTAATCAACTTTTATTTAACGTTCGAATAAATTTCCAAGCTCTCTGATTTTCGCTGATTGTCGAGGAGCGTGTTTTCAAAGTTACCCCTTTTTTTTCGAGGCGAACACGAGTTGTTCACGTGTGTGTAAATACACGAACATTCATTCTCGTAGATGTGACATATATATATATATATATATTGTTTTTTCATGTATCAGTTATGAAGCGCTCATTTTTCGAGAGCTTTCCAATCAGATTTTCGATTTCTATTCATCGCGTGGCGCACGTGGCCTATTTATCCCGCGATACATGCTATTTTTTTTTTTTTTTTTACCTCTCTTTCCTTTTTTTTTTTTTTTTTTTTTTTTTTCTTTATTAACCCGGAAATCATTGACGAACGTCCCGATGTTTTGCTCGGGAGGCCTGCCCGATTTAAATCGAAATTTGCTTTTGCAAATGGAAATTCGTTTAGCCGGATACAGATCGATGCGTTAGGCTCGGTTTCGCAAACGAGAGGAGGCGGAACGCGTTTCTTCCTCCGTTCCTCCGCAAACATAAAGCATTTTTCCACTCTAATCCGGCGCGAGATTTTCATCTCAAATTCCTTTTCCCGTGCCTCGCATAAGGCGAACTAATGAATGAGATGGCCGGGTCTAAAAACATAGGCGTTCTAATTAACCCATCCCCGTTAGAAATCGCATCCTCAGAGAAAATGTCCAATTAGAAACAGCAATCGCGAGATTCGTGGCTTCTTCAGTTCAATCTCGTTTCACGGGATATCGTGTTTGTCCTATCGTTTCTCTTGACTCTCACGCACGATGCTCGCTAAGACTACCAACGATTAAAAAGTGTGAAATTCCTAACAGAGAGATTGAGGTGCAAGGAATGAGAAAAAATTTATAATACAGTAAAATACACGAGTTTCTATAATATTAGTTTATATAGTATTTCTATATTTGTATATTTTGCTGAAGATAGTTCAAGTCTCTGAAAATATACTGTTATAAATATTATGAAGTGCAAGGAACAAGATAAAATTTATAATACAGTAAAATGCATAAGCTTTTATTTGTATATTTTGCTAAAGACTGTTGAAATATCTGAAAATACACTATTATAGATATTATGAAGTGCAAGGAATAAGATAAAATTTATAATACAGTAAAATGTACGAGCTTCTATAATATTTGTATATTTTGCTAAAGATCATTCAAATCTCTAAATACACACTATTATAGATACAGATATTGTAGAGTGCAAGTAACAAGATAAAATTTATAATACATAAGCTTTTATTTGTATATTTTGCTAAAGATAGTTCACATCTCTGAAAATACACTATTATAGATATTATCAAGTGCAAGTAACAAGATAAAATTTATAATACAGTAAAATGCATAAGCTTTTATTTGTATATTTTGCTAAAGATCGTTCAAGTCTCTGAAAATACACTGTTATAGATATAAGTATAAAATTTCAGTGGAAAATTATAAATTCGCAGTCATCTTGACTAGTTTGGTAGTTTCAGTGTTAACTTCTGCGATTATATCAATTATTGAATTTGGGATCAGACAAATTTTTGTTTGAAAGATAAAAACTAACAATTTGGAACAATCGTTTTCTCGAATTTATTATGTTTACTTGAATGAACATTTATACAATAACTCTTTATGTTAGTCCTAAATGAAATAAATCAACAGAAGTCCACGAAATTTTGAAAAATTGCTTGCAGAGGTAAACACAAAATATAGAATGAAATGAAAAATTGATTTTATTTGATAGGCAAATAATCGAATGATTTAAAGAAAAGTCACTTGCTTGTACAAGTAAGACAGCCTCGAGTCAAACAAGATGATGTACGTTATTTAAATAATTGTTTTCCAAATATTTTATTCAAATAATGCCTAATGTACAAAAAAATATAGATATTACACAAATGAAATTCAGTTTAGCATCGAGACGAATAGAGATGGAAAAAATGGAGGTGAAAATGCTTGTGAGTTGAAATGTTTGTTTTTCGAATCAATTTGACTGAAAAACTACTCAGTTTATATGATTTTGTTCAAATGCAAAAATTAAATGTAAATGCAATGTAGAATATATCATGGTATATGATATGTTCTCGTAAAGGTAATAATAATCTCCAAAATGCAATATGTTCTCCCTATGAAATTATCTTTCTGCTATCAAGTTTCGTTGAAAACTCTATCATCCTTTTAGACCACTCCTTTCGTAACACTATACCTCGTTTACACTTCCACTCAAAAGCCTTAGGGCAGTTATCATATTTGCTTTAAAGCTGGAAATGAAATTATGTGTCTATGTAAAGGCACGCAGAGGCGCATCGTATTTTGTACGACAACAACAAAAGAAATCCAACTTACAAATACACCAATTCACGTTTATATTGTAAAACTCGTGCAACATGAGGTAACTCGTAATTTACATTAAATATACCAAAACTTTGTCAAACGCAAGTTCCCAGGGCTTTCGCGCGCGTGAGAGAGTAAATGTAATTACAAATTTTGTTGATCTCAAACGCGAGCTCGGTGAGATCGACTTAATTAAATCTGACCGCGAAAATCAAAATATTTAAAAAAAAAAGAAGTGATCCTTAAAAAGAGTCCCCTCATCCTTGCATCTGTCATCTGCCAAAGGTTCGTTTAAATTCTAAATTTTACGAAATTTCCATAGAGAGTCACGAATTTCTCTGACACGATACACCTCGTCTGCTTAATATAAATATTTCTTTTCTCGCGCAATTTCCTCTGTTTTCTAACTGTGAGATCTGTTTTTCTGTTCGCTGTTCCAGTGCAAATTCTATCCACGCCGGTGGTCGAGTCCTCTGCATCGAATGTCGCGCAGGGGCCTCTAGCTACGTTACTGTGCATACTTTGCGCGATGCACAAGATCATTCCTTAATAAAAGTCAATTGCTTTAGGATAATTAAAACGAGAGAGAGAGAGAGAGAGAGGAAACAAATAAAGAAGAAGAAAAAGACACAAAAGAAAAAAAAAGAAAGAAAGAAATGTGTAATATACGTAAAAGAAAGAGAGAAAAAGAGAGTAAACACAACTGGAGGGAGTAAGGGAGAATTTGTGGGAGAGGGGTGGGGGGATATATATTATATACATACATATATAGATATATTAAAGAACGAACAATCACAATGTCTTCCTTGATTATACCGAAATACACGGGGGCAGCGATTTTATTGTCTTGCAGAAATTTTATAAACTCATATAGACGCGGCTTCTTCGTGCAACTATTTTCGATTGTCGCTTGTATCGATCGTTATCTATTCCGCGGAAGAAATATCGTCGGATCCCCCATAGGGGGGAGGGTGCCCGTTCGTTTTTCTCCGGTCCCTCCCGAGAGACTCGCGAGAGTTCGCGAGACACGCGACCGACGACCGAAGACGGTGATAATAAGAAGAAAAATTAAAAGAAAAACGGAAAAAAAGGGGAAAAAAGCAAGAGAAAAAGATTTAAAAAAAGAGAAAAAAAGAAGACCTTACGTACATCACGTGAAGCAAAAGATAAGGAAGGAGGGCAAAAAAGAAAGAAAGAAACAGAGATATATAACGCATATAGTGGATAGCAATTCACACGCCGGTTTAACAGTGATTTTTTCTAAAGAGGAGAAAAGACGAATAAAAAGAAAAAAAAAAAAAAAGAAAAGAAAATAAAAATGTAAGAATTAATAGGGCACACGCGTGTACATACACGCACAGACACACACACACACACACACACACAAGCACACACGGGCGCATTTTTCTTCTTCTTCTTCTTCTCGCGACGTCGACCACGCCAAGATTAACCCGTTTACCATCGTTCGAGTTCTCTCTCTGCCGTGGATACTCTGTCTGTGTTCTCAGATTTTCAAATCTTCCGACTACGTCGAAGCTGCTGCTGCTGCTGGTGCTGCTTCTGCATCCGTCGCGTGGAATAATTTATATATGCTCGTTCGTACGTTCGATCGTCGAGAGGTGAATTCAGACGGATCCGCGAAGAGTATATACACATATATGTATACATCTATATATACGATGTGACTTAACTGTGTTTTATCCATAGTTTCAAGAGGATTATCTCATCGCCATTCGTACGAGAATGCTGCTGCGACCGGAGAGATCCGTGCACGTTTGATCGGATCAAGTTATAATACGATCGAACGCGGCACAATGAATGTCAATTCGTAAATCGAATTTCCTGTTCGAAATTAAGGGAATGTATTTAGCGTCGTGCGACTTCGTTCGTTTCCGGACGAACGTCGAACCGTAACCGTGCATTAATAGTCTGTAACACCTATAATTTTAAATATAACCGTTGTACTCTCATCGTCAGGCCGTTGCGCGAGCTTTCGTTTCTCGCCCGGGGCGACGTTCACGATCACGATCACGATCCCGCGGTTCGAAACGTCGAACTTGGATCGAAAGCGAAGCGAATCGAACACACGCGCCTCTAGGTGCGTGTCCACTCTATTAAACATGTACCACACGTATATATTTTTCTCGTCATTGCCTTCTTTCTCCACACGCATAACCAAAGATGAACATTGTGATCGATTTATTTGAAACGTTTCTCGACATTCCTAGTTCTAGCACGAGTCTAAGTACTCGCCACGAAGGTAATTTAACGTGTTAAGTAAGAGTTACGAAGAACTATCTATCTATATATATATATATATATATTTCATATGTACGTGTGTATATAGATATATCGTGCAAAGAGGATATATTATGATAAATTAAATAGGTATGGTACATACGAGCTTCGTAACACGTGTGCATGTGAACGTTTTGTTTTTAAATATATCTTACACATGTACGTGAAATGAAAAATTATATAATATACAACATACGTGCATACGTGTGCGTTTGCCACGCGACATTGCGACATAATCCAGAATCTGGCATCTCCTATTCGACAAATCGGGAATCAAGACTGTTGTATCGTACCTTGTTATCGTTGTCGCGATTTGACAATGTTCCGCTATTGATGTTTCTCTCTTAATTTAATCACTCGTTCCTCTCGTGCTTCGTATGAAATCTCAGATATTTGATATACGTGTATGGATATATTATATTGTCGATGTAAGACGTTCTCCTGTACAGTAACGACGATTTATTCTCTTCATCAGAGAAAGTTCGCGAATAAAGATCAAGCAATTGTAAAGCTAGGTGTACACGTTCGGTTATATCGTGCAATAAAGTTACGACGAGTATACGTGACTTGCTGGTAAAAATTTTTGTTTTAACCAGCAAGTTTATTTCGACGTGAGTGCAGGTCAAGATTAAAAACTTTGTCTGTACGTGTTACGCGTAACAGAACAACAATTTTCTCGAGTTTTTTTTTTTCAGTATAGCGGTAGTACAATATGGACGGTTCGAGAGTTATTCAGCGTAAGTTACTTGTCATTGAAAACGATTTATTTTCGTACAAATGTCCTTTTGTTATTAAAATTGTGAACAGTGAGTTTAGTGATCATGTAATAACACACACATATATATATATATATAGTTTAAGAGCAAATATCCTTCTTTTAATTAAAAGAACCTTTGTCTTTTAAAAACTAAAAAAAAAAACAAAAAAAAAATAAAAATTAAAAAATAAAAGTTTTTTAATTAAAAGAAGGATATTCGTTCTTAAGCTAGAATTATAAAACATTGTCGTAGAAACAGACATTTCTCAGTAGAAAAATTTTGCAAAAATAAGACGCTGGCGAGAGAAGCCGAAGATGTTCAAATTTTCGAAAGTTTCAAAGTAAGAGAAAAAAAAACTGACGGTATCGTGGATCACAAGTGACCTACTACTGACTAGCTTCGAACCTCTCTTGTAATATCGAACAGTCCTCATTTTCTCTTTCCAGTTCCAGTTAAATTAGTCTCTCATTAACGACATAGGTAAGATCATACAAAATAAACAAAAGGAAATGATCCACTTGTATCGAACACGATATTAGCGAAGAAGGTGAATTTCACCTATTTCAACACCTTTCTGCCCGACTTTCCGCGTCGTTTTATTGCACGCTATAATTAATCGTCTATAGCTAACTTGATATCAAATGCGCGCACACGTAGGCTCGTCCCTCAAGAACGAGGGGGACGTTCGTTCGTTGCTCGGCGACGTTAAGTCCTGCGGCAAGTCCTATTTTTAACAAAGGGGTGGAAAAAGAAAGAAAGAAAGAAAAAGTTGGACTTTATCACAGGGGATGGGGATCCGGAGCTATTTTGTTCAGCGGTGAGCGTGCATTTTACGCGCGTCTAAATACGCCTGTATCCCGAGGCAGAAAAACAACAACGTGTAATTATAGAATTTCCTTGCCTACGCACCCGCGGGTCTGCCGCGGCCGATCAATAAAACTGTGTATACCACACGGCCTTCCGGGACGGGGAGATCCACGTGTGCGCGATTCTAAAACGCTTCCGTTCCCCTTTTTCTTCCCTTCTTCTTTTTTTTTGTCCTCTCTCTCTCTCTCTCTTCTCCTCTCTTCTTCGGTCAAACGCGTGTTCCGCGCAAGGGGAGAACGAGGAGAGGGAGTGAAAGTGGATAGATAGAGATAAAAAGATAAAAAGAAAAGGAGGAAGAAAGAGAAAAAGCGAGAACAAGTGGTGCGAGAGTGTAAAGAGAGAGAGAGAGAGAGAGAGAGAGAGTGTTATATTCATAATGGTATGAGAGTTCTTTAGCAGGTGGTGATACTTTCGACGTATCGTGCAACATATCGTAGCGTTATAATTACACGTAAAGAGTTAATCTTTCTGAAGCCTCACGGCTACTCGATTGTCCCTGTTCTCTCGAGAGCAGCGCGATAATGGCCATAATGGGTAGAATGCCGATACAATGGATACGCTGACGAACGCTGCCTTGAACGTAGCCAACGAAAGCTCCGTCTTGTGCCCAACGTGTCATACGAGCCGGCCGAAACGGGATTCTTTAACCCCTTGCGCTGGCAACTGGAAGTTTGCGGACCATAACGAGTGACCGAACCAATATACAATAATTCGTCGCTTTCTCTTTCTTTTCGAAGGATACAAATTATTAAGGAGTAATAAACTTGCTATATAATAATAATAAATATACAATAACAATGATATATAATATTATATATAATATATTATATATTATATGTAATAACAAACTACTTATTATAGAAATAATAAATCTATAATTATCGTTTGTTTTGCCTGGATTACATTTACATATACTTGAATATGAGAAAATGTTGCAAATGTTGGGACGTTGAAAAAAATTATCGACGTGCGTGGCATCGTCATTCCAGCGCAAGAGGTTAACTCGAACAACAAAGTTTCCACGCCGGCTCGATGGACAATCCACGCCACGCGATTCGAACGGTTTCCAGGAGCGAATCATTATGATTATATTTAGATTGGCTCACCTTTCGGTTACACGCGACCATTCAAACGTTTCTTCAAATGTTTTTTTCTTTTTTTAATTCGTAGAAACAGATCGATCTGATGAATTGTCAGTTGCTTTCTCAAAGTTGCTCAAAGCTCTTGAGTTTACATCTCAATGGACTGTTTTTCCAATCATTTATTTTCCTAAATATGTGGCATTATTTCAAGTGTGACCAAGTGATAATGATTGTATTTACATTGGTTCGCTAGTACTTTGAAAATTTGAACAATTTGGTTTCGTTTTCTTTAAGAAATGTATAGTCCGCACAGTGGAGTTGACGAAATTTTGAAATTTCGTGAGATAACGAAATGTTTGCTCTTTTTTTTATAAATTTTAATGTCTCGATGGGTTGTCTTTTCTTTACTTTTTCTCTTCTTTTTTTTTTTTTTTAAGTGCATATACAGCGTGATTTAAATGGTTCCAAAGGGCCAAATGATCAGAATTGCGTTTAAACTAGTTTTTGCTTTTGGATCCTTTCGTTTTTCTTTTTTTTTTTTTTTTTTTTTTGTATAAAACTTTTGTTTCAGGAGACACGAGTTAATGAAATTTTTAATTTCTAAGATAATGAAATGTAAATTTATAACTCGACGATAAAGTTTCTTTTGTACACGAAGATTCGAATAGTCTTTGTTTCCTACATGTAGATTTCCAGCGGAGCGAAATTTTTAATTTCTATGGTAATGAGATGTAAATTCATCGCGTCCAGAATTTTGTTAAAGCGTTGTATGCTATGCATTCATTTGCGGGGATATTTAAAATTCTACGTCGCGTCAAAGGAACTTAAATATTGATTTTTTAATTTCATTGCGTGTATATCGCAACGATCAACACCATATATAACCGAGGACTAAGAAACAAATAATTTACCTTCGTAAAGATAACGTCAATGGTGGATAATTTTAAGAAAAATTTATCGACATTTCCCTCTCACTTTTCAATCTGTCAACAATTTATAAATGAATTAGCGTTAACGCAACGTTTCTTTTCATTCTTTTCACGTTGTCAACTTTCTCTCAATTATCAAAGTTTTCAAAAGTTCGAAAAATCTTTTTAATCGTCAAAGTTTCTTCTCGATGTTAGAATTACGAAAGATAGTTCCAAAGATTCGTTTAATATTTTTTGATCATTATAATTCCCCAAAATATAATGAAATTTATATATTTATATCATCATCGAAGTTTTTAGAAATTCGAAAAATCTTTTTAATCGTCAAAGTTTCTTCTCGATGTTAGAATTACGAAAGATAATTCCAAA